TGGATAGAACCAGAGGTCCCCGGGATGGCAAACTTAGCGCTCTCTCTCTCTCTCTCTCTCTCTCTCTCTCTCTCTCTCTCTCTCTCGCTCGCTCGCTGGCTGTGTGACAGAAAAACAGGCCCACAGGACACAGACAGGCGGAGACAAGTGAGAGACGAAGATGCGAGACGGATAGAGAAACAGACACGCACAGAGACATCAGAAAGGGTTCAGTCAGAGTCTACGACCTACCCAACCGCCCGTCCCCTGCCCCCCACCCCCAAACACACACACCCAGACAAAGGGTAAGGGTAATGCCCGACTGTGGATGGATTGGTAGACGCGATGGATTTTTTGGACTCACCTTCGGCCCAGGATTCTGTTTAACCGGTGCGCGCCAATTTGCTCGCTGGGGGTACGTCGGCAACTTCACTCCACCGCGAGTTTCGCATCGAACTGTATTCGAGGGTCCAGGAGGATTCCTCCAGATTGGTGAATCTAATTGGCCCTCTCCGTCCGCCCAGATCTTGTCGATTATGTTCGGATCATTATATTCTCCCTTCCACGACAAAAAGAACGCAAATGCCGCAAGAAAAATAGGCAGCACAGTTAAGTAGCATATAACACGGCTCGATGATGAGTTCGCGCCATTTAACGGCTGATGTCCGCGGTAGGCCGCCATGGGGAGAGAGAACTGACACCGATCGCTGATGATATGTCACTCACAGATAGTCAGTCACAAAGAGAGATTGCGTAAACAGAGAGAAGGAAACAGAGAGAGAAGCAGACCGATTGGGAAACAGAGACAGAGAGAGGGAAACAGAGACTCCCTCTGCCTCCTGTGAGTGGAGCAACTCACTCCAGGTGCCAACAAGACACGTTGCAAACGCGATAGCCCGCCCCTTGACCCTTTTATCTCTACCTCAGAGCATAGCGATGGCGATCGCTCGTGGCGCACAACAACGACGGCATTTAGCTACGAACGAAGACGCACTGGCGGTGAGTCAGGGCGTATTCACGCTCCGAAGTTTCTGGATGCATCTGACCACATTTACGTTCTAATTCAGTCGACATGCGGATGCCCTAAGCCGTTCCTCCCTTCCCCTCCTCTCTCTCTCTCTCTCTCTCTCTCTCTCTCTCACACACACACACACACACACACCGATCCAGTGCTCTCGACAGCAGGATGTCAAAAAATAAAGAAGACCTGCGGACGCGCAATGGCAGCCAATCCCCGCCCACTTACCACCGGAGCAAAGTGACGACGATGATGATGACTGCGCCGCTACTACGTGACATACCTGTGCGACTGGGTGCGACTGCCGCTTTACGTCACGCACGCCAACGGTGATCAAAATGCTCCTAAAACCGAAATCAACGGCGACGAACGACTATAGCCTGGTCATAAATCTCGATGAGCTATTAGTAGACGAGAGACAAAAGAGCGAGAGAGGGAGGTGACAGAGAGCGTGGGCGGTGAAAAACGAAATCAACGGCGACAAACGACTATACCCTAGTCATAAGTCTCGATGGGCAAGAGTAGACGAGAGAGAAAAGAGAGAGAGAGAGAGAGAGGGAGGCGAGAGAGACAGTGGGCGGTGAGAGAGAGAGTGGCGAGAGTCAGAGCCGGCTCTGAAGCCAATCTACTGCCCTCTGCGTCTACCGTCGAGGAGTTCCCTCGAGCCGTGAAGGGTGAGAGAGGGAGAGAGTCAAGAGCAGCGGGCGGTGGAGGGAGGGAGAGGGAGGGAGAGGGAGGGAGAGAGCGGGAGAGCACCAACGCCGTGCCGTGTCGAAAACACAGCTCCCCGCCGAAAAAAAAAAAAAAAAGCGCGCGCATAGAAWCCGCGATCGCGCTCGTGGGAGAGTACCAAGGAGAGTGGGCTCAGAGACGGGCGGGGCCTAGGTCCCACTTAGACGAATTAAGCGACATTGACCGTAGATAACAAAGATCAACGGCCAGAATCTCTTAATCTGTGCAAGTGGGACCTTGCCCCGGGTCAGGAGAGAAGGAATTGACAAGACGAGGACGACGTTCGGCAGAGACGAAAAAGAGTGACCATGAACAGAACCTTCCGCACGAGTGCGCCCAGCCCATCCCATTCTTCCTATCGAGTTCGCTTCCATTACAATCATCTGACGGTAAGCGCACGCTGATGAACTCAGTAGAAAGCAGCAGCCGTTGGATTTCGGAACCTCAACAAAGGTGGCCATCCGACTGGTAGGCGTAGCGGACCCGCTCGGACACATGTCGAACTCGTCGTCCCGCCTTGGAAATGCCGTCGAACCATTCCGCGATCTCGCCTACCCTCTTCCCGAAATAGACGTATACGGTCATCATAGAGGCATTGTTTTGGACTAGATACAGCGATATTAACCTTCGGTTCTGCTCGGGGGAAGACGGGTAGCTGCAGCTGAGGACGTGGCAGGTCTTCCCGCAAAAGGAGAGGGGCCTCGGTCCACTACTCACCACGAGACAAAAATAAAGAATGACTGTGTATCTTTCGATGTTTTACCGGAAAATTCGTTCTTATGACTGTATCTTTCCATGTTTGACCGGAAATTTCGTCCTCATTTGGCAGAATTCGTTAGTTGTGGAGTAAAGCTTGGATCCCACAATCTTGAGTAGGGGTACTTTCGTGAAAAAAAAGGAATCATCCAGCGGCCTAACTCAGGGCCTCTTTAGACCCTCCCTGGAAAATCCTCAGGAATTAGGATGAACTCCTTGGAAAATTTTACCGTTTTTGCCGCGAATTCCATACGCATATTCCATACGCATATACGCGGCCGCGGGGGTGGATGTCCGTCGTGGTGGTGGGATGTCTGTCCCTCCTCAGGCGTGGTCCAGTGGTGGCGGCAGGGAGGCCTTCCGGGCTACGGAGAGAAAAATCGGTGCAAAAATCCCTTTTGAAATTTCAAATTTCAAACCCTTGGCTGATACACATCAACACACCGTGGCGTGTAGACCGCTGGAGCGGACACCGGAGCGAAACATCTGCACGGAGGATTTGCGGCGGCCATCGCTGAATGTGAGGTACCTGCGGCTTGTCCATTCCGGTTCGAGTCCGGACAGCGGCAATTTGTACTCTCTAGAAATAATATAACAAAAATCACTTATGAATTCCTTTTTTATCTTTGTTTTCATCTATTCTATTAACTTTTCTTCTGAGACTGAATAATACTATCTATTTTTATTGCAAATTATATGATCATTTTCCATGTGCCGACGCGGCGCGGACGGTGAAGATCTCGGAGTGTGTCCGCTATAACGGGTTCCACGTTCCTGTTGGGGGTGTCGACGACAATCCTGCGGGCCGCCATAGCAGAGCTCGCACGCCACCCCTTCGTCGAAGTTGTGTGAGACTGCTACCTTCCCCGTCCACGCGGAGAGAGTGGAACGACGGTGCCGACGGCTGACGCAGAGGGTGGTGAAAGTGCATTGCGCGACGCCATCATGGTCAGAGAGCTGCAGCGCGGTGGCAACGCCTTGACGACTTCAGAGAGAAATGCGGTGGTTGTAGCTATTTCGGCGGTCGCCATGCGATATCGCATCGAGAGAACGACAGCGCGCCTCAAGATGAGACTAATGATTCGCAGGTAGCGTCAGCTCATGCAACAAGTGATGGAGGCGCCCGACTGTGTGTCCATGTCTGAATCCATTGTCCAGTTTTGTTGCGCCATCGCATCCGGTGTGATCCCTCGGGCGACTTCGAGGTGGCGGATGAGGAGAAGGACGGGAGGCACATGGGAGGATCTCCGGAAGATGGACGATGTGGCAGATGTCCCCTAGGGTGTTCCGGGAGATCGTGGAGGCGTTGTCCCCTCTTCTGCAGCGGAGATTGACATTGTACAGGGTACCGTTGATGCCGGATCACATCATCACATATGCGTTGTATCGATGGGTGAGCGGGGAGACGTACGAGAGCAACACATCGTTGTCGAGCGCATCGACCTGGCACCGCACAAGGCAGCACGGGACCCTCCCGGTCGCGTCACGCAGGAGTTGGTCTTAATCCTCGTTGTAAATACATATGGAGCTTCCGGAAGCCGCTCCGGCCGAGTGCGCCAGCCATACCTCTCGCGAGGCCCTACGACAGGACAGGGTCTACGTGACGCACGACTTACCTCCACCTTACAGGAGTTGTCACCTCCCTTCGGTGGGCATATCCCCGCCGAGCTACCAACCCACAATACGAAAGCTAATCAGTTGCAATCGCAGAGGTGGAGCAGCCGAGGGCGTTTCTCGTTCGCTGTAGCATAGGGGGTACGCGCGGTAATACGCCTCTATCGAACCCGCACGCCAACCGACATTTTGGGGGGCTGAGGTCCCAAGCGTGACTCGTCGCCGGTCGACTAGGACGTTTCCCACACACCACACGCACACCACTATAAAGAACATAAAAATAAAAACACACACATATATACATACATATACAGAACGACACAAAACAAACAACGCGACAACACTCCTAGTCCCTTAGTAGTCATCCCATAACTCTTCGATGCGGAAAACGGATAGGCGTCACCCGTGAGACTTAGTATAAAATCGCGCGGGCGCAGGGTCTTCCCATATCGACTAGCAATGCATGAATACGCAAGCAGTCGTGATGATGGCGTACTATGAAGTGTCCATAATCAAGCGGTCCTTCGTGGATCCGAGTACCCCTCATGACACTCAAGTGTCACTCTCGAAGTATTATGAGAGTCTACTCCCTCACGATATTGCACGACTGAAGGAATAGCAGTGCGGTCAACACGGCACCTTCGACTTTTAGGCTGAGTGTCTCGACAGGCAGGGCAATTAGGCTCTACGCAGGGGGAAATCTCTTCCATATAGAGTCTACGACCTGGGATGTCCTGGACAAGGACCTCGAATCCGGGCCCAGGACTATCGTCCGACTAATAATTTTTTATGAAATATTTCATAATAACGTGAATTTTTCTTTTTTTTTTTCAATCTCGACCTCTATTTAACCTTTAAGCGTGGGCCCCTCAGGCCATGCGAATACCCAATACAAATGCAAAGGGGAATAAGTATGTGACGGTCACTTCTCACAACCAAAGTGAGACTCCTCACAGCCATATATATGTGTGTGATCGCAGACAGTCGAATCCAAAATCTATGTCACAGAACATACATGCAATCGCATCAAAGAGTCAACCAAAAGTCCAAGCACTACACGGAGTCAACTTCAATCAACCTCCATACTCATACCCCTCGCTTTAGCCATGCAAGCCTCAGCCCATCAACCTTAATTAAATGCTCAGTATCTTCGTTAAATGGTCATTCAATAAAAGTTCGGGTGAAAACCTTAATAAAACAACAAAACTCACAAGGGCTAAAGTTTTTTAGGTTGAGTATTGAGGATGGATTGGAGTTGAGTCGTAGAGCGACAAATCGACAACCGACCTGTTATTAGTGATAACAGAAGTTGATCCTTGTAGGATCAAGTTGAATTTAGTCCTGATCCTAAATCAATCGATCAAGAAGACCTGTAACATAAGATAGACAAATCCCCAAGCTAAATTTATAAGTCAACAGAGAATAATCTCCATATCACAATCTCACTCAAGGTTCTCCTTGCAAACTAAGTCTAAGCGTACCTCTAAGCCAGTGTCCAAAGAAAGGTAGACCCTGGCAGAATCTTCTCTATGCATAGTGAATTTTCTGGATTGCCACCTGTCAAAATATAATCCAACTCCTTTCAACTAAGAAACTTTCGGCAGCGCTTTCCACAGGAAAAGTATCTTATAAGAATTTATAATAACCAAAATATGAAAACAAAAACGATCTCTAACTCTGGAAAGTCAAAATTTGTCTGACTCTCTGAATTAGTAAAAATTTGGGCAGCATTTCCTTTACAAAGGTACACTTCCCAGATTTATACTAAGTCGGATATAAACTCAGAACAAGACCTGAGTTCAACTAGGACAAAATTTAACTTGACTCTTTATATTTTTAAAAGTTTCGACAGCGCTTCCCGTAGAGAAAGTGTTATTACAAGATTTATACAAACCTAAGTTCAGAATCTAAAGTGGTTTTAACTCCTCGAGGTCTAGTTTTGTTTAACTTCCTAAATTAGTAAAAATTTGGGTAGCACACCCTTTAGAAAATGAGTTTTTTCTAAATTTTTACTAAGTCAGAAAGTCAGAAAAACTGGACCCTGAAAATAACAAAATCTGACTTACTCTTGGTTTTGTAGAAATTTCGGCAGCGCTTCCCGTAGAGAAAGTAACTTACAATGATTTATACAAGACCAATTATAACAAATGATCCCAAATAATGCAGAAATCGACCTAAGTAAAAATAAACTTAGCTTAAAAAATGCAGGAATTGAAACTAACTCTTATGACTCTAGCACGTGGCGAGCAACTAAAGCAGCTACCTATCGAACTGAAACTCGGACTAAGTAGTAGTCGCACTCAGTCTCACGCAGGCCAAACCACAAAGGTAAGTACTCTCACCAACCCCAAGTCACTTTATATAAGATAGTTCATGAAACCCTCAGATGATTCAACTCTTATACCCAATTTCCATATGGCGCAATGCTAGACCATTCGGCTTGGAAACAATGTTCAGCGTGCCTTAAGATATACATGAACAGGTTGCACTACTACTTCTCTCT